GTGGATAGCGGGAGCCATGCAGCACTTCACAGGAGTGTAGAGTGGGTGACCTCTAATGCCCTGATCAGATCTCTGGGCTTTTGGTTCCCCCCGTGTGGAAGGGGTGGCACATGGGGCAGGGCTGGATGAGAGCCCCTTTCCCAGCAGGATGCTAGCTCGTATGACTCCCAAACTGGGATGAATAATCAAACCCTGGTTCTCATGAGACACATGACGTTTCAAGGAAACAGGAGACATCATGTGAATTTTGGAATACTTAAGATAGTCAGTTTTCAAACAAAAAGGCTTTTTAAGAGCCAAATGACACAGTTGAATGAGATCAGTGTATAGCCTGGAGCTCTGACAGGGGTGAAGTCCGCTCCACTTCATGCAGGGAGTTGGAATTGACTCTGTGGCTTGCATTGAGTTTGTCCGTCCTCAGCTCTTCAGCCCAGCTCCAGCCCTCTGTAATCCTTGCTTGACGAGGAAATGCTCTGATTGTTTTACCAGCCTCTGGAAGCCAGTTTATAAACAAAGGTGTGGAGCAGGGAACAGCACTGAGGCAGACCCACTGAGCCCAACGGAGAAGCAACCGAGCTGAACCCTTCCCCAAGATCCTGGCTTGTACGAGCAGATGGTCTCCTGAAACCTCTCCTCCTGGATGGATCCTGGGGCAGGGCGAGGACTGCAAATACTTTCTGATGCTGTATTTCAGCTCTCTTACAGAAAGGGAGATAAGGATTGTATAGGGGAGGAAAGAGAGGTCTTCGTTCCCACGAGGGCACCTCTAACTTCTGGTTCTGCTGAGGTAGACAAGGAATAGGGTGCCTGTATTTTTGCTCACGGGAGAATATAGCTGTGAATGTGCTGTCGTGATCTCCCTTGGTGGCCAGGCCGGCTGGTCCTTTCTGCCACCACCTTCCCGTGTGTTGCCCTTGCCGTAACACTCCCCTTTCTTGCAGTTTCCACTGGCCCTCAGTAAGCAGTTGTACATCTTACTTTTATTTTGGGACCTACATTAAGTGAAATCTGAAATGGCTCTGCTTCCGTAACACTGTGAAAAGCCCTTTGACAGGAGCAGACTGGTCTTGCAGCCTGAGAGGGCACAGCAAACTTGACCTGTAAGGAGAGGGACCTCAGCAGGCCTGGCCAATTCCTCACCTGTCCCCACCGGTGACATTCCTCTGCAGTGGCCGAGTACCACGGCAGCTCCCCGCTGCTGTGGATACGATCTGCAGCCAGCAACCCAAGCGAGCGTTTGTGAAACCGTAGCGTGTGAACCCGCCTTGCGATCAGCAGCCAAGCAGGCTGCGTTCCTTCAACAGCCTCCACCACCTGAGCACTGCTGCGCTGGGGAAGGGTTCTCTCCCTCCCTGCCCCCCTTGGCTTGGCTGGGAAAAGATCCGGCAGCGGAGCTGGGGAAGGGCTGCGGTGCTGTGCAGCTGCCAGGAAACCTGAACCCTCCAGGCAGGTCTTAAGCTCAAGCGAAGCTCGGAAGGGCTGCTCAGCTCAGCGTAGGAAGGGGTTTCTCCCTGTCCTACGGTCCAGTACATCAGCTGTGTCATCTGCAACGTGCCCCTGACTCTTGTTTGCAGATCTAGATACGTTCGGGCCAGGTAGGTCCCGCGCAAGCAGAGGAGAAAGAGGCAGAAGGCCTCTTGTGCCCAGCGTACTAACGCTGCTGAGAGGGAGAACATTTTATTCCCATGTTTGTTCTTGCTAACGAAACGAAGAGGGTCCTTAGAGTAGGTCTTCCCACATTTCAGCTGCTATATAAAAAGCCTCTGGAGTGTTTCCAGTTTGTTAATGGTGGGGGAATGCTGCTCCCAAGATATATTTTGCATTAAGTGAGTCTGGGAGAATCGAGGTGGAGACAAGGATCTGGAGAGCAGAACCTACTCACTCCCACCTGTGTGCTTTAGGAGTCATGCTCCATCTTGTGCCATTTGTGATGCAAGGAATGGTTCAAGCTGTGCTAAAAGCCCAGCCCAGATTCAGGAGCAGAAATTGAACCCACCCAGCTCCTGTGGTTAGGACATACTCCTGTGAAGTGAGGGAGGTGGGTTCAAACCCCTGAGGCTGATAAAGGGAACTAATTCAAGCATCTCATTTGCTGGGCAAGTTCCCTAACCACAGAGCTAGCATGCAGAAGGAACAGGCTTCGTCCAAAAGGCTGATGGAGGAAACACTCCTGCAGCACCTCGCTGAGGAGCACCAACAGTTCGGTTAAACCCGTAAGCTTGGTCTTCCCTACTGGCTGTCTGCCCCCGATGCAGGGCGGTAGCTTCCCGATAGCCTCTATGGTCTGGAGCTTAACACGTAACGTTGGGTTTTGGTTCACTCTCTTGGATAAAGCAGTTGCCTCCTTTCTGTAGCATGGGCACCACACTAGCAGGGAAAAGCCCATGTACCATGTTGGCTCTGGAGTGCTATCAACACTTGATGGACATCCTTCCATCCTTTCCATGTTGGAGGAGGTGACCTATGGTTGGTCTTTCCCCGATAACGGCGCTGGTTTCTAACCCCTTCTGGTGATGGAGTGGGGAGGCCTGGGCTGCTCTGCCACCCAGGAGGGCTGGCACCCCAGGCTCGTTCTGCAGCATTGCTCTTCCTGGGCGGCAGGATCTACATTTGCTAAGTTCTCCCAAACCTCTCTAGCCCAATTCTGCACACTAGCCCTTGAGGAACCAAGCAGAGCCCTGAGAGGGATATGCTAGCCCTGACAGGAACCAAGTTTCCCTGTCCCCAAAGCAAGAGGTGGTTGAAACAGCAATCTTTGGGCACAGAAAGTGTCTCCAACCACAGGAAATACTTCAAATTGAAACTCTTCAGGCAGAGTAAAGCGTTGCCCGTAGCACACACTCATCAAAACACCAGTGTCGCCCATGGACTAACGGGACCTTGGGATCGCTTCAAGTGCTACCAGCAGCTTGGTAAGACGGGAACCTTGTGTTCAGCTGACAGACGCTCCCACCCCATTGCGGGCTGGGGACAGGGCTGGGACAGCTGAGATCAGAGAGATACAGCACGTGGCTTTTCCCTTTCCTTCCTCGAGCAGCAACGCAGAACTACGTCAACAGCAACACTACTGAACGAAGCTACTGAACGATCTGCCGCTCTCGGGATACGCGACGACCAGCCACTGCGCTCTGTATAAAATTCAGCATCAGAGCACTGCGGCCGACCTGACTGCAACCATTCAGTAGCAAACTGCTTTTCTGGAGAGTTAGCATTGGGTTTTCTCCTCAGGCACGTGACCTACGTACAAGTTGCAATTTTAATGACCACTCACTAGATCTTAAAATGCTTTTGCAATTGTTCTCTCAGCTTTACTTCCCTGAACAACATGGTGGGAGGAGTTGTCACCTCACTGTTTACCGATTTTCCTAGTTACTAGTATGTTGAACATCAAACACTCTCACAGAACAAAACTGACTGACAGATCAACCTAATTACCATGCTACTATGCACCGAGTCACGAGCACCTCTTCAAATGCCTGTTCCTTACAGCAGAGGGAAGAAGGGCGACTAAATCAGTTTCTGAATCTCCATCAGCACTCTAAAACATCTAGACATTATGCCCCCAGAAACCTCAATCCTGCCCATACTCTGATGAAAAAATATCAGTGGATCTAGCAGTCAGCGATGGCGGTAGTAGCATTATGGCTGTTCTGTCCATAAGGGGCCACTTAGGCGAGTTCTTTTAACACCAAAAAGCAGACCCACGCCCCTGCGGTTAAAGAGACCAGTTTGCTCCACCCCTTAAGCTAAAAAATAGTCCTTTGAAAAGATCCTGGGCAGTAACAGAAACGAGTGTGGATCCAGTGATGCCACAGAAGCTAACAATCCTAGCCCTCTCAAATGCTCCAGATCTCATCCTGGGTCCAGTGGTGTATGCAGAAACTGTCGTCAGGCTGTAGCCTTAACCATACATCGGTAAAGATTTCCCATACGACAGCATGGTTTGGCTGCTCAGAACTGGCCTCTGGAAACTTAATGGTCAAATACAGGGTTCTTCAACAATGGACTGATTCCCATCAGATCACTAGAAACGAGCACCTTTTCAAAGCTGAGCCCCGCAGCAGACAAGTCACGTAACCGAGAACATAAAGAATGGCTGGTTTCCTACAGGAAAAACACAAGACCAGACGTATTTCACACAGTGTTATTCACACATTTTCATTTTGATTTTTTACAGTATATACATGTGAACATTACATTATTCAATATGAGCCACCTGGAGTCAAACCTAATCAAACTGGTCCATAATTATAATCTATATCAAAAAGCGATACTTGAGCAAAAAGTCTAGTGGTTCTACCCAAAGCCTAAATTACTTGAAAGGAAAACCAGTGATTTTCATGTTCCTGGATAGAATTTGTGCAAAATGATTTTAGGAGAGCAAGTGGAAGATTATGTTCAAGATACTGAAAGCACTAAGGACTGTTTAAATTCAACCATGGCATGAGTGCTACAGGGACAAAGTACTGGGACATTATCATTTCTGCCAGTTCTACCTGGACATCCCCGAAAGCATAACTTGCTGTCTTACACGTTGACGAGAACGTCGGCTCTGTGGGTTGTAAGACACAGCATTTGTACACAGGGTAAAAATAGTCACGGAGGAGAATTAATGTGTCCAAGAAAGTGGGTCAGAAGTCATCCTTTGTGTGACTACAGGAAAGCTTTGGCTGCAATGACAGGGCTTGTACCTCTGGAGAGGAATTTTGTGAACTGCCATGCAAAAACTACTTGGCAATTAGAATTGTGCTTACTAAAAATAATTAGGCCTACTACATCACTTAATGCAGGCACTAAATGACAGATTCAGAAACTGGAAGTCGGCCAGAACACACGTTGCCATTTGCCTATTAATGAGTTAACGCTACCATTAAAAAAAGTAGCGCTTCAGATGTATGCTTTAATAAGATTTATGTAAACCTGATATAAACAGTAATACAACAGGATTCCTTATACAAGTTTATACCACTACCATTTTCTTTCCTCATGATCAGACCCCCACCATAACAGCTTTTATTTGATCAATGCTCAAGACACTGCTTTCAAACTAACTTGTTGATCAAAACTTTAGGTTAAGCCATCCAAATGAATGTTTTACACAAAATACTTACTTCAACAACATACAAAGCACTTTCTTTATCTTTCAGAAACTGAATATACAAAGTAAGCTTTTTCCAAAATATTTCCATAGGCAAAGGATTAAAAAGGATTTTAATTATACACATATGGTCACAATTCTGCCTTAAAAAGATCATTGGGAAATGTACATAAGGCCGCTTGTAAATGTACATCATCTTAATGTTACTGTTACAATGTCATATGTCCAGAGAAAAAAATTGACAGTATCATACATATTTGCTTTATGCTGGGAGAAGGCTATTCAAAAATACAGTACTCTTCTGTACAAAAAAATCATGCCACATTTATTAAGATGGAAGAAGCATTGGTTTCTGTGATAACCAAATATTTCAGTCCGTTTCTTACTATGCTTATTATCCCGACTTAAAATTTGAACAGATTGATTTCCCAAAGTGTCCATATTAACAGAATCAACAGCTATGTTATAAACAAAACATAATGTTTCTCACAATAGATAAAAAGAAAGCCAGTTCATATTTCTGAAACCATATAAAGATAGAATTTAAAAAAATCACTCTTGATTTGCTGAAATAAATTTACATTATACAACACTATATGCCAGGGGGGGAAAAGGGAGTGGGGATATGAATATACACTAAAATGCAAATTTTCATCCCAAAAAGGGGTAAAACAAATTACATTTACAGCATGAAGGTTTACAAATGTACATCTGTACAACCAAGGTAAGCATCACTACTAAATTAGCAAGGCTTGTAATAAACATCGAAACGAGAGATTTGTTTTCAAACTGTAAACTTACACCTATTAACTACACGTATACAATGCATATATTTATAGGAAGCAAAAAAGCTATCTGAATATTTAATCAATCATGCTTAAATGTTGAGCTATCAAGTTTACTTTTCAGTGGCCCCTTTTCTCTTCGTCAATACCTATTTTTTGCATCTACAGTGAGAAAGCAAAATAAATGCTCAACACTTTCAAATCCTTACAATTCTATATGCAAAATAAAAAAATACAAATCTCTACCCTTCCTGCGTTGTAAAACTGACTGTAAGGTTAATACAGGGTTCACTCCTTTTCCAACAGTGTACTTTACTGAGTGGTGAAGTACCACCATCATTTTAATCCCTCTGCCTTGTACAACAATTAAATATATAAGTATATACAGCACTTTTATTTTTAATACATCGCTAGAGAAAACCTTAGGGCACCATTTTAAAAAACCTGTATCCACAGCAAGTGATGAAAGCTAATCTTTTAAAATTTCCATTGTTTTGTTATTCCCTACTTTAATTTACTGTGCCCTGTTTATTATTTGGATAGTACGTTGTGAACCACCAAAATACAACTTAACTTTTCAACGTGTTAAATAATGTTTATGCAGCTGATCAATTTTAATCTGGTATAAAAGACTTCACACAAAAGGGAAAAATAAGGATTAATTCTATATACAACTCTATAAACCTGTTGTGCTATGATGCTGGGTAGACCTACCAGATTGCAAGCCAGTGTATTAAAAGAATACTGTACTTTTTCCCTTTAAAAACTATTTCAGTGACTTTACAAGGTAAAAATTTACAAAATATGTGACAGCTATTTTGATACAATTACATCATATACAGGCATTCTGTGCTTTGCCAGCCATCCAATCTGATAGGTCTCCGGATCAGGGCTGGAGATATTTTTTTCTTTTTTTTTTTAATAATTCACTCCCCAAAAATATACACAAGAATAAAAATTTTACAAATGGATGAACAAAGTCAATAAATAGATTTAAAAAAATGAGAACATTTATAGTTAAGTTGTATGTTTTGATCATTCACAATTCAGTTTTTCTTCCATTTCTTTTTGTCTTTTACAGCATCCCATTTGGTGGTCCACCAATTGGCCCCAGATCAGCACTGTTCTTCAGGTAATACTTTTCCAACTTGGCCAGAATGTGTTTGCCATAGGTGTATTTACGCAGAGTTGTGATGTGGGGTCGAATCTGTAAGAAGAAACTCGTTATTTCCCCCCCCCCCCTCAAATACTTTAAGTATGGGCTACTACACTTCAAAAATACTACGCTGAAAAAATGTCAGAAGCCTGTATTTCAAAATTTTGGAAGTTTCTGGGAAGATGTAAAATTGGTGATTTTGATTTGCCAAACAACTGACGTACCTGTGGCAGGAAAAGGGAGGGAGCCCCGTGGCAGGGGGGCCCCGTCGGG